CCCCATCCCACTCCCCACCAGGGTCCTGTGTCCATGCATTACAGCCCAGGCCCCAAGCCCTATGCACTGCCTGGCTGGGCAGCAGCCCCAGCCCTGCCCAACTCCCCCTGTCCCTCCCTATGGGGGCCTCAAAATAATAACAAAAAAATATTCAGGAAAACAAAATGTACGTTTATCCTTTTGGTGAGTTATGTAGGGCCTGAAATATAAAGCCAGCAATAAAACTTAATTTTAGAACCAGATTCATCCGTGCTGTCCCTACAGATATTCACATGTGAGGAGATACGTTGGAGCTGAACCAGCCCAAACTTAGTGAGAGACCAGAATCAGGTCCAGTGTAATCAGAGAAGTCACAATTTGAAAATCTCGTGACTGATCATCGAGTCTGCGCTATGGTCCAGGCACAGACATATTTCCCTAATAGAGGTTGCAGCCTAGTTATTAATCTATCAATGTACTGAAACCGCCAAAGCCTGATCTTTCATGAACATTTCTTCTGAAAGTGTAAGAGAGAGAGAATTTGTATGATTTTGCATGCCACTCGACATAGAAACTAGAACTAGAAACAAATAATATCCAAACAGGAATAAGTTAAGACACAGAGATGTCTTAAGTTTGCTCATCTGACAGCTCTGTTACTTTTGATTGCAGGTATTCGTCCACAAATAATGAATGGCCCTATGCACCCTCGTCCCTTGGTGGCTTTGTTAGATGGAAGGGACTGTACAGTAGAGATGCCAATTCTGAAGGACTTGGCGACTGTTGCATTCTGTGACGCACAATCAACTCAGGAGATTCATGAGAAGGTAAATTTAATTTCAGTCTTTTTTTTTTTTTAGATTATTTTAGAGGGGGAAAAAAATCCCCATTTCAACATCATATTTATTTTCCCTGTTGGGAAAATGCTGGTGATGTTGCTCTTTAATTTGATAAACAAGTGATAGGTAAGCAATAAAACGATTTGAAAACCCGGATATATGTTTCATGAAAATTTCATTTAATCCTTTGGATCAAAAATTTCTACCAAATATATCAACGTTTCTCATTTGAAATTTTTTCATAGCAACACACAGGGAACTACTGCATTGTCAGCATTACATTGCTGTCAGTGTTGCTTTATAAGCTGCTGTCAGTTGCAGAGTTTAAATAATGAACTGTAGTTGAGGTGTCTAATCAGTTAAAACAGCCAGTTCCTCTCTGCATTATCCCTAATACTGAAAACCGGAAAGAAAATACGAGCCTTCTCTAACAAGGCATTTGCAGTCCAGTGTACCTACAGAGGGTGGTTGATCCCAGCAATCTTAAATACCTGTGCTAGAATTATGTTTCCATCCTCCGATTGCAGAAGAAGGTTTGAAATGATTGGGGGTCATTTCGGAGACCTGAGAGAAAAACTGAAGATAGGCTTGATGCAAGTGAACTCTGAGACCCTTCCAATCTTAAGCATGAGTGAAGAAGGGCAAAGGTTGTTATAGGAGACTCATTAATGGATGTACCAACAATGCAGAGAGGAGAGGTTTGGATTTCCCAAGCACTCAAATAGCTCTTTGTGGTGAGAGCTGGTTAGGGTTTGATAGTTTTCACTTAAGAGGAATACAGCCTCTCGAGTTCACTCGTAACACAGCTTGTTAAACGGGCTTTAAAGTATGTAGTAGAGGAGGAGAAGGTTAATGCAAACATTCTGACTGATGTTATACTTCCAACATACAAAATAAGGCAAAAGAACTAGGAGTAGCAAACAGCACGTGTTTGTCGAGAAAAAATGTCACTAAAAAAACCCGATTGCTTCTTAAAAGAAGAATGACTGATGAAAGGAGAAGAATGAACGTAACTGGTTGAGCCACAGTGCAGCCTTTCACTTAAGCTCAGTAGCACTCCTTTGTGTCTCTGTTTGGATGTAACGTAATAACTTTGAATGCTGTGTCCAGCCAGTTCTAGGATTTCAGGGAATGTTCTCGTTGTCAGTGAGCCGAACCAGGGTGATCTTGATGAAAACTGAGAAGCCAAAGGGGTGAGTGGGGAGCCAGTGGCCATTCCCATTGCCTACTTACTGTCCCTAAATTGAAGGATGAATTGATGGCAAGCACAGACACCTTCCTGCGTAACACCATTCAGTTCTGCCCATCCTTACAGCAGTTTGAAATGTTGGCACCCCAGCTGACTGCACTCCCAGGCAGAAAGAAATATAATGGCAAGACACGTGCAAAGCCCCTGGCATGAGGGAAGTGAGACACGCTGCATGGGGAGGAGGGGTGTAGGTTGGTTATAGAGCTTCAGGGGGAAAGAGGATGCACACAGTCTCTGGTATATGCTGGAGAATGCGAGACAGTAATATGGGGGGTGTAGGAGCACAGAGCCCCTGGCATGTAGCAGAAAAAGGACATGGAGACCATGGCATGATGAGCGTGCAGGGAGTCCCTAAACTTGAGGAAGAAGAGACAGTGATACACAAAGTGCTTATGGGAGGAAAAGGAAGAGTGCTAGGAACTCCTGTTATTTGCAGAGTGCTATCCATGTCTGCAGGAGCTGTGACGGGTGCCCATCAAGTTAATACTTGTGCCAAGGGAAGCATGCTACATTCTTCCCTATTTTATAAGTGGGCAGTTTTTAGTCTGATTCCAGTAGGCGAGGTCAGGGGATCACTAATCCGAAAATACCAAGCTCTAGGGGAGCATCTTACAAATTGAACGTTGGTATGAAATGTGCCGAGCACCCTCAATTCCTCTCAACTTCATTAGGTATGAAGACGACTCAGGTACCACACTGAGAATGCTCAGCCCCCTGCCAGGTTAGGGCCATTTGTTCCATCAGTGCATCCCTGTTCCCAGTCTTGCCACTCTCCCACGACCAGGATTTTCTTTCATCCTTCTGTTCTGTTCCAGGTATTAAATGAAGCAGTTGGGGCAATGATGTACCACACCATCACGCTGACCCGGGAAGATCTAGAAAAGTTCAAGGCCCTTAGAGTCATTGTTCGAATAGGCAGCGGCTATGACAACATCGACATCAAAGCAGCGGGGGAACTCGGTATGATTTAGTTCTGTCCAAATAGCTTCTTCCCCCCTTACTTGTTGTTGCTTGGTTCTTTTAAATCAATACAAACAGCATTGTTTTTAATAGACTTCTATGCAAAGGGTTCTTTGCGTTAAATATTCAGAAGTGTTCTGATTCTGCCTCTACAACTATAACCATTTCTGTCTATATTAAAGCGTATGCCTGGAGAAGAGTGGGGCTGTGAGACACCACACAACTCAATACCAAAACCTGCTTTTTAAAATTTGCCCCGGTGTCTTCATGTAGTAGACTTGTGTTTAAAAGCAGTTGTTGTGAATGTTTGATTGCCACTCTTTCCACTAGTCTGTCTTGGTCTGATGATTGCTTTTATTAGTTCTGCAGGGTGTTGAAATGTTCCTTCTTCTTGTTAGCATGGATTGCTCCATCACGCTTAATTTGTATGTGCATTTTTAGTTGGTTCAGCCTTTCTAATTCAAGCATTAGCAATAATTGTGTGTCAACATTATAAATACAGATTGAACCAAAGAACACACACCTCATTATTGCCTTTGCTTGGACTTGAGCTGATGAAGAAGAATTGCAGGCATCTAGTACCTTACAGGAAGCACTGGATGTGTCCCATGTCCAGGCCCAGAAAACAGAAGTGACCAGATTTTCAGAAAGCAGCATCTCAAGTTGTAGGCCTTTTATGTACACACAGCCATTCATGCCTGTAGATTCAGTATTATGCATGCAAACTACATTTGCAAACCAGCTAAGTAGTTACAGTTCTACCCAATTTACATACAAATGCAGATCTCTTATACAGCTCTGAGGATTTGCACATACAGAAAACTGTGGTGGGTTAAGATGCATCAGTAGTGCGAGTAGCTATGATGAAATCACTATCGACAATTTGGCCCAAGAATACAATCCATCAGGAAGTACTATGAAAGCTTTCCATAGGGTTTCTTATATTAAAAATTGTCTCTGCATTTAAAAAGCCAAATTAAGTAATCAAACACAATAGCATAGTCCTTTCTTCAGCATTGCAAATTGGGTGGCCAAATGATTGTTTTAAAGCAGAAAATGTAATGACTAGCTACAAATGTAGCGTAAAGTTTAATTGGTATGGCTTTCCATGTGGTAATATCATTAACTGTATATAGGTTTTTAACTCTTTATAGTTGATAAATGAGAGATGGAAAATATAGAGACAGGTCTTGGTTGTATCAATCATCAGAACACTGGTGACCCAATTTTGAGTTGAGATATTCATACGCCTTTAATGTATATTTTTTCCCAAGGATGCACTCAACTTTCTCTTGAAAATAATGACCATAATTGCAATGAATCTTAATGTTTACTCCAAGTTGCTAATACATTTTAACTTGTGGAGCTGAAGCAGGGATCCTTTTACCTTAAGCAGAATTCCAGGTGAACACCCTGAGCTGCAGAAAATTCAGAGCCATCTCTCCACTGTCTCCTGTCTTCTTCCAGTGATTCCAAAAAGCAGAAATTAATAATGGTCCAAGAGTCTGCGCTCCTCTGTGATGGAGCTGTTTTTGTTGTAACTTAGCATGATTATGATCCCTGTAGTCACACACCTGCTCTGTGGCAACAGAGTAATGTTTGTAAAATATTGTCAGAGCCTACAGGTTTGAAAGATTCTTTTTCTCCCCCCGGCTAGTCATTTCTACCTGATCTCTCACTGTGGATAATGATTCTGTTTCTACTTTCTGACCACAGGTTTTTCATATCAGTCTTTTTTTTTTTTTTTTTTTTTTTT